TAATGTGAAAGTGGCATTGGCAAAATAGGCCATGAGTAACGAAAACGTTTCTTAAACAGTCTTTGCCGGTTTCCGCCACATTCACGACCGAAGAGTCTGTCCCGGGGAAGGTGAGTGAAAGCACGAAAGCCAATATGCCAACCGAAATATAAAAGTTGAAATTTTTGATCCTTTTTCTGCGGAGGAGGGAATTTTCGTGCGTTTCAACGTCAGTTATTGGACTTAATACGGTCAAGGTGGAAATTTTTATCCGAAAAGGCCACCAATTGAGAGTCTTAAACCTGTACAAAATGTATTATTGTGTTTATACCCTTTCTTGCCTTTTGACGAAATTGATAATTTGACGAAATGGATAATTTTTTCCAGATTTCTTAGAAACGTCCTATGTCCTCTATTAGCTTTAGAAATTTATTCTTGAATACGTATATTGTATGTTTGACATGAGATGAGAACGTCGGTATTGAGAAACAAGGATAACGACGCTCGGCAGATTTTTGAAGATTCAAATGCTCGTTACTTCTTGAAAAATAAGCCTGTTGCTGTTTTTCCCGACTAATTTATATTTTTTGATGGACGATCTATTTTATTGCATTTAATTTCCCGAAACAAAATTCGACCCTCACCCAACTTGAAATAAATTATGCTGGGCGATTATATAATAAAGAAGAATTAAACGATTTTGAAAGATGCAAAAATGCAATGGATTGTAGTAGAAAAGCTGTGATTTCCACGACTTCCTAAATTCTCCAGGTAACAAGTTTCCACCCGATCAACGTGACGCCGAACACGATCACCAAGTTTACCCTAAACGGCTCACCTCTTGTCTTACCTCAAGAAGTCCCTAAGTTTTAGGCAATGCCGTTCTTTGCTTTCCAAACGTTTTTGTTTTGTTTTAAATTAAAGAGTATGGTCATTTCGTTTTAAGGATGCTATTGTGACGGATTTTTATTATTTTTTATAGACGAGTGCGTCGGATGTGCTTGAGGAGAAGCACTTTGATGCCACCGAAACTCAAGGCACCCTCTATGAATTGGAACCCGGAACCGTGTACATTTTCAAAATTCAAGCAAGAACTTCGATCGGTTACGGATCTGAAGCCATTTGGGAACAAGGAATGCCTGTTTGGGGCAAGTATCCATCTCTCTGTAGGAAAAATGAAAGTTTAAAAAAAATCATGTTTAAGGAGAGATTTCTTTTGAATTCAGTGTAAAATAAAAAAATACTTCGTTCTTCAACTATTCAAGCTTCCCCTGCCGCATTCAATATTAGTTGGAATAGAACATAGTTTTTTGACTTCCTAAATTTGAACGTACTTACGTTCACATGTTCTTGAAAATAGAAGTATAGTACTGTTTATGAAGAACCCGTATAACTAAAATCTCGCATCACAGAATTCTTTAGGGGAATAAAGTGACTCACTTTACGACATTTTTTCATGTAACGAAACTTCTGGGTTGAAAAACGTTCAAATTAAGCAATACTTGGCGTAGAACGTCGGAATTTTCTTTAAAATTCCACGAGAATGAGAAAAGAAGTGCATAGTTCTGTTTCTTTTGGATTTTAATATCTGTAAATTTCAGAAAATCAGGAAAAAAATATATCCAATTACTTAGATTTAAAACTGGTAAAACTTTAAATTTTACTGTATGCTGAGTTTTTATGGTTTATTAGGATCTTTCGGTGAGTGTTTGGAACTATTTAAATTGACAATGTGATACCACATTTTGAATTACAAAAGGATGCGTAACGGAATACATCGAGGAACAAGTAAAATTTATTATGCTGAAACCCCGCTGTAAATGCTATCAATGCTAGATTGACAGTGTTCAAGTTGAAAAAAAAATCAATGGAATGTGTTTCTCGATTATTATTTTATTCGAGTGCACTCATTATTATTATTATTTTTTTCATGCAGCTCCTCCTAAGCCGACGGACCAAGTTTTCCCGACAGAAGTTTCCAGGAGCACGGCGACCATTCAAGTGCGGTTTAGGCAGAATTATTTCTCAAACAGCAACGGAGAGGTACAATATTCCGAAATATCAGAAACTAAATTTTTTTAAATTCTTTTAGTTCGGTTTTATTTCAACTGTGGTTATTTTACACGATTCCAGGTTGTTGCTTATGCAATCATTGTGTCGGAAGAAGCGGTGAAAGACGAGCTTGCGCTTGGACTCGGTCCGAGAAGAGATGAATTGCCTCGTTGGCAAGACGTGCAGGGTTTCAACGCCTGGCCTCCGTACCAGGTAAAATATGTCCAACATTTTTCCAATATTTAATCTAAGTACGGTATGCAGTGATGTCTCGGTTAACGGACTTCGATCCGTTCTTGTGGAAATTTTTTTTTGCATGAAGATTCTGTGAACCGAGTCGAATACGCTTGATTTTTTCTCCACTTTCGAACGGACTTTTGAACTGAATCGTATTTCTGATTCTTCGTATTTCTGAGAAGTTTTGGTATCATTTTCTAATATTATAGAAAGTTGGACAACTTCGACTCTTCACGTAACATTTTATGTAGTATCCCAAAAATGTCTGATCAAATTATCATATAAACCGTGATATATTATTTTTCAGATAGTCCAATTCTATTTTTATCAATTCCAGACTCCTAGAAACCAAAGCCTCAGGCTGTCTGGATTAATAATTACAAATGCCTTGATACGAGTTCTTGGTACAGTATTTTTCTTCAATTTCTATCACAGAAAAACAAGGTAAGAAATGGCCAAAACACGCAATAAAAAAAAGAACTTGCATAATCTTGAAAATGATGCTCTTTTTGTTAATTTTGATTATTTTTCGTAGTCTTTTTTGTAAAGCAGAAATTGGCGAAAGCGCGTGTCGGTTGTACGAAAAATTTGCTTCGCAAAGCGTTTATTGAAAGCAACCGTTATGTAGCAGTATAATGTTAATCCGTGTGATCAGTTGAAAAAAAAGCTCCATCGTATCTTGTGAAGATATGGATTGTGTCTCAACGATCCACCAACCTGGCCTTGCACCCCAGGCAAAAAAAGGGTCAGGGTGAGAATCGGATCTATCAATGTCACTGGCCCCAGGAAAAGCCTTTGACTTGTCCGCGCCCAATGGAACAAATGAAAAAATGGAATGTTGCACTTAACAGGACGCTGTCTGGCGGACGCTGTCTATTGGATGCTNGATAGATCATAGCTTATGCTGCACTCAAGTAGGACAACTTTCAAGTACACAGGGTTGTCCCAGTAAAAGAAAAACATTAGGATATAATTAAAAAGTAATTCCAATAGGACATGAAAATAATTATATGATCATGAAAAACACATTCAAGTAAGCCAAAAAATGCAATTGATACTGAGAGCTTGGGAGGAAAATACACATGTTGTAAAGTAAATGTATGGAAGTGCAGAAAATATCCCCATTTTAAAAAAGAAATACAGTACTGAAACCACCCAATATAATTGCTTTGAACAAGTAGAGGGATAGGGAATTACAAATTTTCAGGTACAGATTGTTTCAAGTGTTTAAGAGCACCCAGAAAGCCTCCCAGGGAAAACTTCAAGAATTCACATGATTTTTGAGGCCAGAACAGATTTTTGGAGCCCCGATTTTCACTGAAATATTGTTGGCAAGACTGGCGGTAGACCCCATCCCAGAAGGGCACCATAGAGAGGATTTTGAAGGCTTCAGCCCTTCTTGCGTCGTTTTTGCCAAAGAAATCACAATGTCCCCGAAAAACGAAGAACACAGACAGAAAACTGTGAAATGCTTGCTGGATGAGATAAAATCGGCAGCCGTCTTAAATGAGCGGCCTGCCCAAGAATCAAAGGATTTTTTGCGGCCCTGTCAATGGCCCCCTTTTTTTTGGAGGGGCGCGGGGTCCATAAAACCCTTGGTGGATAGAAATGCCAAATGTCGAAGATATGATTGCACTCTGGCTTCAGGAGAATTCTTTTGGAACTTTTGTGTAATGATTGAAATTCTTTTATTGCAGGTGAACGAGCCGTACAATCCCTTCAATGGGACGAAAGTCGCAGATTTTGTGGTTGGCATTGAAGAAAATTGTTTCGGAGTGAAGAGGTATTGTAATGGTCCTCTGAAGCCCGGCACGTCTTACTCCATCAAAGTCAGGGCTTTCACGGGCAGAGACAAATTTGCTGATACCTCGTGGAGTCATCCAATCACCACTGGTGAGAAATTTTTTTTTTTTTTTAGCAACCATGCATTAAAAACCTCCCTAACAAAAGGCTTTTCTCCTCAAACCTCCGAAGTCGAATTTTCTAGAGGCCTTTTGGCTGTCACTTTATTGACGCAGGAAAGAGTGAAGTAATGAAAATATATTGATGTGGTTTGAAAAGGAAGTGAAAGACTGATCGGGCAAATGAACGCTTGCCTCTGAATTCAGTATCCTTTCAACTCATTTAAAAAGCTATTTAACGCCCAGAATATCACCAATTACAATTTCCTGTAATTATTTTTTCTTTTCCCCAACAAAAATGCGTGGTTCCCTTAAACTAAATCTCGCTAACTCGGATCTGTTCGCTGGTCCCTTCAAGTTTGACAGAGAGAGGTTCAACTGTACTCCCGTTTTTTCTTGTTGTCAATTCAGTTGGAATATTTTTCTTTGAAAATTTTATACCGTATTTTCTCAAGAAATAATTTTGATCAGATTTTCTGAGAGCTTGGGTTCTACTCTACCGCATGCAAAGAAGCGGACAACCGGAAATCGTGGTGTAATCATTCCTCATACAACTCATTTATGGAACAATTCAAGGCCTAGAAAATCACCTAATTACAAATTCCAGAAATTCTTCTTTCATTGCTAGTTTCCTTGACTCTAATAAATTTTTTTTTAAATTTTTCGCTGTTGCCTTAAAGTACGACCTTTAAAGGTTCGACTGGAACTGGAAAGAAAAAAAGAAAAAGTATTAAAGCGTCTCGGCCTGTCAAGCTCGCAGCAACGACGTCAGCAGTAGGGTAACTGAGACCAAGACGAGCCGTAACCCTAGCAGCCGTAAAAAACCGTCGCGAAAATTGGCATTTTCCGGTCTGGCAGGTCCAACAGGGACCATCACATGAAGCACCATCACCGAGGTGGAATGCTTGCCGGTGTAGTGGGCGTCGTGGGAGGCCCGGGTTCCGGAAAGGACGATGCCGTGTCGTTGCCGGACTCGGTTATTGTGACGACTCGTGGGACCATCACATGAAGCACCATCACCGAGGTGGAATGCTTGCCGGTGTAGTGGGCGTCGTGGGAGGCCCGGGTTCCGGAAAGGACGATGCCGTGTCGTTGCCGGACTCGGTTATTGTGACGACTCGCCCTGTGCCTTTGAAGGACTTTGCTGAGCATTATCGCATCATGGCTGCCGACTCGGATTTCCGGTAGTTAATTCATGATTTTTTTCTTGGCCTCTTGACAATGAATTATTATTTTTTATTTTTTGGAAAATCTTGCCTTTTTAAAATTGACCATTGTTCATTCGGGTTGAAATTCTGCATTTGGGTTTTTGAGATCCAGTTCTCATCAGGTTTTTTTTTTTTTTTAAGCTGCCTAAGATTGCCGTTTTTTTTATCTCGACTGAAGGAAATTAGTGAGATTTCGAAACTTCATCAGGATAACCGTACAGTATTTTTTTTTCCATGAGTAAAGTAATTCGATTTTATTTTTTATTTTGAAAGATGTTTTCTAAACTTATACAGGTCATGTCAAGTACTGTACTGCATTAGTGGTGTACATTATTGTTCATTCGAATTGAAATTCTGCTGTGGGGTTTTTGAGATCGAGTTCGCGTCAGGTGTTATTTCTAATTCGCCGAAGATCACCGATTTTTATCTTGACTGAAGGAAAGTTGTGAGACTTCGAAACTTGATTGGAATAACCGTATTTTTATTTCGTGCGGAGTGGAATTTGATTTTTAAGCATGTGGAGGATATTTTGCTCAACTTTTAGAGGACATAAAATATATTTTATTATGAGATTTAAGCTTAAGATTTCGCGAGGGATGCGATCATTCAACTGGAGGACACGAATTTTTCGAACTTGTACTCCTCTAAAGTATTTTAAAATTCTTAGTTGGAGAATGTCAGTGAAATTTTCATTTATCTGAATCGGATGGGCTTTGATTACTTGTGGTTGGAAAACTGTACTTCGAAAACCCCAGATTTTTCTAGAGTTTTTCTTGAAATGTAGTTTGGCAAACCATTCGAAAGGTACAATTTTAATATATTTCGATTATCATGCAGTATTGTGTAAAAAAAGAAAGGGAAAACATTTTTCTGGTGATACAATAGTTTTAAGAATGCAAATATTTTCCGAACTTGTGGAACTTACCGAAGTATTTCAGAATTCTTTCAATTGTACTCCTGGTGATCATCAGGGTTTTTCCAGCAACCCTTTTTACGTTTTTCGTTTTGTTGTACAGCCTGTTGTTTTTGATTATCTGGAGAAAATGTTGAACTTGTGAAAATTAGTGAAATTACAGTACTGTTATTTTGTAACTCGTGTTTTAGATTTTCCGAGGAATACGAAGAGCTGAAGCACATCGGAAGAGATCAGGCGTGTACTGCCGCAGATTTGCCCGTGAATCGTCCGAAGAATCGATTCACGAATATTCTTCCGTACGACCATTCGCGGTTCAAATTGCAGCCAACTGATGACGAAGATGGCACAGACTACATCAACGCCAACTACGTTTCCGTGAGTTTTTCCTCGCCCGTGCTTTTTTCTCTCCATTTTAAAGCTTGGAAGAGCTTGCCGAAATTTTTCTGAATTATCACTTCCAGCGAGATTTGAACTGAAATATTCTCCGCCTCTTCAAATTACGCGTGTCTGATTTCATTTTGCTCGCGGTTTTTCCTCCTCATAGATGTCACCTGATCATCGCTTTGTTTACTTTTGCCGAAGTTGGTTTACAAAATTAAAACTGCATCTGATTTGGTTGCTTAATGCTTTGCCTGTGACATTGAGTTACTTATGATCAAATTAGTGATGGAGGCGACACCTGTCTTGAGAATTCAGGAAAGGTAGTTCGGGCGTTGAACAAAAAAATGGAAGCCATTTCGGAGATCATTCATCGCAATTTATTCACTTTCTGAAATTGTTTGAGATTTTTATTCAATTTTATTGTTGTTCGGAATTGCTCATGCTTATGTGAAGAGGTTTTATGTGCACCAGTTGGTTTTTGCGCAGCTTATGTGTTCTTTTGCGAAGCTGTCGACAAGAGAGGTGCTATATCAAGTTACTTCCTTAGATCTCCGTGTTTCACTGTTTCTGTGTGATATGCGGTGAAACCAAGGAAAGTACAGCATTTTATTGTGTATGACCTCTCGCAAAATCTGTACCGTACTTGCCATCAGGCAGGTGAAGGAACAATTCTGAAAATAATTAGAGGCACTTTACCCCAGAAAATATAATTTTTTTCATTTTCTAGGATTAAAAAATAAATATGTGTTACAGATTCTCACAACATGAAATCCCTCAGATATAACGTTTATAAATTGTTGTTTTTCTCCGTTCTTAGCAAGTTTGTTTTAAAAGTGTACTGTACTGTATCTCATTTACTCAAGTACCACGCGCATCTTTGTCTCGAACTTGAGAGGGGAAAAAGAAGATGCGAGTCATTCGCGAGGATAAAAATTTCCGAACATTTTAGAATATCAGTTGCGCTTCACACTTGAATGTAATGGAACATTTTTGACCGGAACTTTTCGAAAATGAAAACAATTGAAAATAATTCAATTCAGCTTGAGAGCGTGTTAAAATTTAAGTTCTGGTATCTGTTATTTTTGAAGTCGTATAGTTTTTAGTCACTAAAATATTAAAAGGTGCCTGTCTTAGTTGAGGATAGAATTTCATCAAAATTTCGGGTGCGTGTCTTACTCGAATAAATACGGGTACATTTGAAAAATCTTTTGTCGAACTTACGTTTCCTTTTTTGCAGGGTTACAATTCTCCCCGTGAATTTATTGTGACACAAGGCCCATTGCATTCGACACGAGACGATTTTTGGAGAGCTTGCTGGGAAAGTGGATCCAGGGCGATTGTCATGTTGACGAGATGCATCGAGAAAGGGAGAGAAAAGTGCGATCATTATTGGCCTTATGACACGCAGCCCGCTTACTACGGGGACATACAGGTCATTGTGTTGAATGAAAGTCAGTATCCCGACTGGACAATCCGGGAATTCAAGGTTACCAGGGTAAGTTTATTTTTTCCTCGGAAGAATCGCTGGATTCGGGCACCGGCGACATCTGCGGACGAAAAAAAGAAACGACGTTGTCCATGTTTTTGAGCCTGACGCTCCCTGACTGGCATTAATAGTTCAGTTTGCTTCTTGTAGATGTCGCCGAGAAAATTGGTCCAGCATGTTGAAGCATGTTGCTTCAGCATGTTGAACGGAGTAGAAGTAGTTTCTTCACACTGATCAATAAATTCGGAGTTTTTCCAGGACAATTCTTCGAAGATGATGAGGCGTAATTAGTAGTTCGGTTTGTTCCTTGTAGATGTCGCCAAGATAGCACAGACCGACTCCCTCTCCAACGAAATCCAAGCGACCAGAAAATAATTCGTCGCAGAGGACCTTCATAACATGGGGATAGAATCTTATGGGACCAAAATAAAATTCGTTCTACGGAGAAAATCGTTTAAGACGTGATCGTTGAAGAGAGAGTCCACCTGTACTTGTTCGAAGAGGTTTTTTCTGATGAATATGGATGCTTCTTCGCGTTGATATCTAGACCTAGGGGACGATGAGGCATAAATATTGCGGTTTTTTTCTGTTAGACGTCGCGTAGAAAATATGTCGTCCTGATGTGTTTTAAAAGCCATTTATATGATGAATTCGGATGTTTTCTTCAGGGTGATTCCTCGAGGATGATGAGGCACTATCACTTCACGACGTGGCCTGATTTCGGAGTCCCTGAACCGCCGCAAACTTTGGTCCGCTTTGTCAGGGCGTTCAGAGAAAGAGTCGGACCTGAACAAAAGCCCATCGTTGTGCATTGCAGGTGAGAGAGAGATATATATATTTTTTGTTGCTTAATTATACGGTCAATTGAGATGTTGCTAGACGACTCACCCAGTGATGCTAGATGTACAGAAGTGCAGTCAGTTTGCGCCAAGTTATACACTCTGAAAAGGAGCATCGATTACTGAGAGATTGAATAATGTTTTAGTGAAGAAGGTGTTTTTTTTATCTCGCGGGAGGAGAAATGTAATGAATTAAAAGGCGCAGAAAGGAGTAAATTTCGTAGCTTCAATAAGATTTGTAGCTTAGCTTCGTTTGCATTTGAGATGGACTGTTATTTATGCGAACAGGGTTCCAATGTGCACCAGTTGGATTTTACGCGGCTTTTGTGTTTATTTGCGAAGCTGTCGAAAACATTGGTGCTATATTAAGTTACTTCCTTAGATCTCCGTGTTTCACTTTTTGTGTGTGATGTGCGGTGAAACCAAGGAAAGTACAGTGTTCTCTGAATTGTAACGCCAACTTAGAGACCAATTTCAAACGCTACATTTGAATTTTTTACCCTCGAAGTAACGCTGAAACGTATTATTTCTGTTAATCTATCAATTTAACGTCTCGTGTTTCTGAAGGGAGGGACGTGAGGAAACCCAGCGCCATCTGGAATAAGTTAACAAAATACTTATTCTGCGTGTACAAATATCGTATTTACTCAAGTACCATGCGCACATTTTTTTCTGAAATTTTTAGAGAAAAGAACAGCGACGTTTGTTTTACACTACTTGATTCTAATGAAAGATGTTGGACCAATTTCAACAGAAGAACTTATTTTGATTGGAGAAAAGCAGTTGGATTCAGGTTCAAATCATGTCTAAATTCGAATTTGGGAATTTTTATCTTTCAAAGATTGGATTGCAGTTTTAGAGTCACTAATAATTTGTGTGTGTCTTACTTTGGGATACAATTTTATCAAAATCTTAGACTAAAACCCCCTTGTGCGCATCTTACTGGAGGGGTGCACGTGGTGCTCAAGTAAATATAGTACAGTACATTGAAGTGACATCTACGTTGTACAAAATGTCTCTTTGGTGTAACTAACGAAATGTTGAACAAATATGCATATGCACAACAGTCAGCCTGCGATAATTCTATGAGCAGGAATATTTTACAGTATTCTGAAATCAGAAGTGTTTCTAATGGAATTGGTTTGTAGATTTTTTGACTGAATTTTTTGATGAGAGTTTTGGAAAGGAAGTTTGAACAACAATCAACCGGGGTGCTTGACACCCTAGTGTAAGGTTGATATATTTTTGAGTTATTCAATGAATATTTTGCAACAGCAGTTTTTGCAAGCAGTCTTCTGCGCAAGACAACACAGAAGCAACTGATGATTCAATGCAAAATCAATTTGTTATTTAAGCAATTCTCTTTGTATGACATTTTTGTCCTTGAACAGTCTTATCCTTCTAAAAGGATTTCCCCAAGAATTCGGAATCTTGTGGGAACCTGAGGTTGCACTCAGCCCCATAAAATCCCCAATTTTCCCAAAGTTCCGCTGTTTTTTCTGGTGACTCTAATCCTGTTTTGACTCTAATCCTGTTCTAACTCTATTGCCTATTTCAATTTTCAGCAAGAGGTTTTCAATTTGTTGCATACAAAAGATTGAAAAGGGTGTATTGAATTTTGGTCTGACTTGGATGTTGAAAATTTGTTTTTGAAATTCATACTAATACCTTTTAGCTCCCATATCCTTGGTGCACAGTGAAAGTGATGGAAAATCGTATTTATGGCGTAATAATTAACTTCCTGGTTAAAAAAAGAAAACCACCAGTGCCTGAAAACAGCCAGTATGACACTTGAATCTTATACCCTTGGCCGAAAACTAAGACACGTACTTGCGGAAATTAATTCTTTCTATTTTAACATTTTTACTACAGTGCTGGAGTCGGAAGAAGTGGGACATTCATAGCACTGGACAGACTGCTGTTCCACATAAAGAAAGAAGACTACGTGGACATATTCGGGATGGTGTACGAGATGCGTAAAGAACGCGTTTGGATGGTGCAAACTGAGCAACAGTATATTTGCATTCATCAATGCCTCCTTGCTGTGTTAGAGGGCCGAGAAAACGTGATGCCGTTGCGCGAAATACACCAGAACGAGGCCTTCGAAGGTGAGTGAAATTCGAAAATGAAAACGGAAACAGAGAAAGAAGTCTCATCTTTTTTGTTTTTTTTGTTTTGTTTGGTGATTCTTGAGAAAAGCTTTTTTCATTCGTCCGTGTTTGTCAGTGGCTGTCATTTGAGTCGGAAATTCAGCGCATCAATTTTCGAACGTATGGGCTTCTCTTCCATCAATTTCGTGTCTGTGCTGTTACTTAACTGCCGTGTTTCACGAATTTTAATGATTTCTTTAATTTATTCACACCAAAAAATAAATGAAAAAATCAGGGTGCGTGTGTGAGAATCGATGGAGACTTGGATGTTTGTACAAGAATATTATTATTATTAAGAAACTGACGAAAGGTCGAATCTCCCATCAAAGAACTTCTAAGGAGTGAACCAAGAAAATCCTTGTTGAGGAAAGTTTTAAAATCTCGATTCTCATATGAAAATGAAATCATCGTAGTTTTTGAAATAAGATATTATTTTTTTAATTCGAGCTTTTTTCTGTAGAGCAAAGGTTTCCTGCAGAATAAAGTAATTTTTTTTTATTCCACTAAGTATCAGGAAAACTGTAAAAAGTCATGAAAAATAATTCGTTGTTCTAAGTACTGTCGTAAAATTTCGTTATACCGAGATATGTTCAACATTTGATCTTCGTAGATTTGGCCGAGAAGTTGAGCGTATTTTTTTGGTTGGAAAAGTCTCTATAACGGTATTTTATATGACCCGATTGGACGCATATTTTCAGTGTAAATGTGCGTTGTGTGAAGTCTTTTGCTGATTTCACTTCTAAATTAGCTTTTCCGAAAAACCTAGTCGTGTGATGATATTTCGTGCGAAGTTAATTGCGTTGAAAAAAATTGACGTGAAACTTTTTGGTTCAAGTTTTTGAAACGAGGTTCAATGACAGATGGTTTTAAATTTTTCAATCAAGCTGTTCTTCTTTGTGGTTAATTTCACGAAAATAAATTTTTGGCGTGGTGCTTTTTTTTTGCTGATGAATGCAGTTTATGAATCGAGTTTAACTGAAAGGTATTTTTATATTCGTCAATCGAACTATTTTTCTTGCTTCTCACTGGTTGAACATCTCCGGTACGTGTTGAGATATTTTTATTTTAGCTTTGAGCCCTTTTTTTTCTGGATTCCCGGAAGTTTTATGAAGTGGCCCCCGCCTAAGGGATTTTCGCCTAACAGACCAGCTCTGCAGGCAGTTTTTCCTCCCGCCAAACAGACATCTTTTGATTTAAAATTAGTGTTGAAAATTGAAATTGTTAATTTTTTATTTTATTGAATTCGTCTGAAGGACTTTTCGTCTAACAGACTTGTCCGCTGGACAAATCAAGTCCGTTAAACGGGGGTTGACTGGACTTTGATTTTGGTTGAAAAGATACAGTACCGTAATTCATACCTGCTTAACAATTTTGTAGAAAGCATGCGCTTTGCTTTTTTCTCGTTGAGCAAGTGTTCCTTGGTTGTTTCGAAGTTCCTAACTCTCTTTTTAATTTTTTTGTTCTGTGCTACTGAGGCTAAAGTCGACCTGAACATTTTTAGTCTACTAACGGTTGAGAAGCCCTGCTTTGGAATGAATAACCGCTTGTCTTTTTGATCAGATACTTTTTTTGTGTGTGCCTTAGAATAGTTGAATGATCGCTGCGAAATTGTGTTCTTGTGTTTCCGGTAGATGACGAAGGAATAGCCGAGTCTGGAATGTGAATCGTGCCTGCCGATTTCGGAGTACTAGTGCCTGGACTCCGATTTCATTCCGAGAAAAAAACAAACAAACAACCCAATTAACGACATTTTTATGAACAAACAAAAAGAAACGGGAGAAGGAAAAAAAAGAAGAGAAAAGCGGAGGGGATCCGTCGTGATAGCGACAGAAAACTGCCGTTTATAGAGCAGCAGTATTGTAGAAAGAAAGAAAAGAAAACCAATGTTTTTTTTGGACGAGTTCTAATCCTGTCATGACCCAGAAGTTAATGTTGCTTTTATCGCGTCCACTGTACTGACCCCGTTGCCTTAACCAATCCGTGATTTGGACTTTTTTTTTTTCTATTCTCCGTGTAGATAATTTCCAGAGAAATTTCGGGAATGCGAGGTTGGGTTCATCGTGATATGATGGCGATGCGCTGTCTGCCAAAAAAAAGAAAAAAAAAGCGAGCAAAAAATTCTTCACATCAAACGAGAAGAGACACGCATGCATGTCTTCTTTTTTTGTTTTTGATAACGCAGAATGTCAAGACAGGATCTTCTGAAGATTTGGAGCTTCGCTGTTACTTTCTCGTCCGCAAGCCGACTTCTTTAGTTTATATAGAATCTCTAAGGCGAGAGAGAGAAGGTATTTTTTTTTTGGTTCCTGAGAATTTGAATCCGTCCTGCGAAAAAGGAGAAAGTATTTGTATTGGACGTGTTATCTGCTCAAGTTTTTTCGCACTCCGGGGGAAGAAAATGAAAAAAAATTATGAGGAAGAAATCGGACCATGGACTCATGGTCGAACCTGGAAGTTGGGATGCGGAAGCAGTTCATGGATTTTTTGTTGTTTCGACGAACGGGGCTCACTGGGAAACGATATATACATTTGTGTAATTTTTTGAAACATTTGTCTATTTTTTTACTCTGTCTTTTAGACAAGTTAATTGCGTCTTTTCAATTTTGCTAATCTTCTCACTAATGATGTGGTTGTTTCTCATGCTTTCAGATTGAAGATAATTTTGTGTTTTGTGAGTTTTAAGGCGTTTCAAGTCCGCTGACTGACAGAGGTGAGGGAATTTTATGTCATGGCTGTTCAATGTGCAGTGAGGAATTTTTAAAAACATTGTTTATTAATTGAAGAAAGTAGAGCTCTTTACTCAAGAAGCCCATGACATTATTTAAAACAGATTGAGGACATTGGTGATGGATACGCGTCACAAGTGCAATGTAAGCTTTTTGCCAAAAAATGTTTCTTGTTCATCTATACTTCTTGCAAATTTGTCAATGCTGAATTATCTTTTTTTTACCAGTCATGCTAAAGCAGATGAAGTTAACTCAAGTTGACAGTAGTTCATTTCATCTTTGATTCTGCCTGCATTTTTATTCCTGTTTTGTTCATTTTTGAAATGTTGAACATTTTGGTAATCAAAAATATGAGTGTACATTTTAATTAGTGGAGTGTATGCTACTTGAGAACATATGGTAATTCCCTCAGCAGTTTATAAATTGAAAGATGCACGTCAATTAGATGATGGAAATTTTGAAACTTGGATTAGCAATTGATGCTAAGTGAGTGGCATTCCAATTGCCCTTTATATGTACATATAGGATTGGATCAAGATGCAAATGTGATTTTGTGTGACATGAAAATATCAGGGAGTGCCAGCGACATCTACACAGATCCAAAGAATATGTCCTCAAACTGGACAAAATAGGGGATGTTTCATGTGGTTCACAAAATTTTTCATTGCAAAGGGAATAGTTGCAAGACTCATCAAGCCCTTTTCAGTTTTGAATAATGAAGTGTTATTTTTTTGTGATGATTTCAGATGAAAGGATTATACTGGTCACTCATAAAACGAGCTGATCTGCTTGTACCGCACAAATACCACGCAGTATGGAACCATCCTGCAGGTATTTTGTTTCTGTAGTCTTGTCTTTTTTATGTCAATTTATTGTATAAATTATTTCTTTCTGCTGCAGGGCCAAAAACAATCCATTTCTGGGCTCCTCTGGCAAAATGGGTGAGTTATTTTTGGTAGTTGAGATTCAGGATTTTTTGTAAAATGTTAGTTCGTTTTCCTAAAATCGCGTTTTAATGTCGTTTTTGTTTATTTAGTAAAATAATTCCTCCTCCCCCCGTCAGCACCGGGTTTTGACAATTTGTGAGGATCAGTTATACATCAGGGTATTCTGAAATACTGTACAACCATAATCGATTTCCTCTTTTGTTGTAACCCTTGCTTCATTATTGAAGTAAATGAATCTTAATCAGATCATTTGATGTATTCCCCGAGTTCTAAAATTTGCATTTGAGTAGAGGGTGAGGACATTTGAATTACACCATCAAAGTTACTTGCCGAGATTAATAGAGGGTGGAAAATCCTGTTTCTTTTCCAATGAGCCCTTTCAAATACTGTATTGTAAAACGAAATTTCTCTGAGGTCCCCAGAATTTTGTTGTAGCAAGATTTTTCTGTGATTCCTGAAGAGAAAATTCACGAGCCAATTTTTTTCATATTTCATGGAAAGCGAACAGGGACGAACTGTTAAACCACCCTGTATTTCACGTGCATGCTCTTGCTGAAAAACTAATTTCTAGTTGAAAGGATATCCCCATTGAGTATTTTTTGTTCCTCTTCGACTTTTTTGAGAAATTAAATATTGTTGAAGAGAGGCTGGTCTTCCAACATGATCAGTTTTATAGTACTCTTGCAGAACAGTCCAAGTCAGAGGTTTGTTGACGCGTGATGATAGATGTCACTTCTTGCTCAATAAATGAGGTCCACGACAAGTAGGCTATAACTTCTACTGTTTTGTATGTGTCTGTAATTCACAGCAAAGGCTCCACCACAAATTTGTTCTAGTGGTCTTGACCACTGAACTGTGTAGTGAATAATTTTCATTGACAATATTGAATTTTCCATTTGATTAAAATGGTCACTATTGAATTTGATTACATTTTCAGGGACTAGTTGGTGCTGGACTGGGTGATATGGCCCGACCTGCAGAAAAGTTGAGCATCAACCAGTCAGGAGCTCTGACAGCCACTGGTTTCATCTGGTCGAGGTATTCGTTGGTCATTACCCCGAAGAACTGGAGTTTGTTCGCAGTCAACTTCTTTGTTGGACTGACTGGCCTCTATCAGGTCGTCAGAATTTACAGGTAGGCTATCCCTGGTTCCTAACGTTTTAATCAACTGACATCGTTTTCTCGCATTTTCTTATTTTCAGGTACAATCAGTCAAAAAAGACGGAAGTTTGATGGCATCATCAAGGCCCTGCGTGGAATTTTAGGTGAATTTAGGCGTCTATGCAAAATTTTGCAATCTACCTAAACTGAGTCATTCCTCAAAAGGGTTCCTGAGGGATCTGTGATGGTCAAAAGCGGGAAAATCTTCCTAGATCCATGATTTTCCTTGTGGTGCAATCATAAAATTAAAGTTAATCCCTGTTGAAGTGTTTTTTTTTAAAGCGGGTCTTTCGTATGAGGGGTACTATAGGGGATTCAATGAATCTTGTTCATTTGTTGCATGTCTTATATTCCGGTGAATGATTAAAAACAATATTCATACTCCTTCCAGCTGTAATTTCTCAAGGTGTGGTATTGAAGTTTAGAACTCGAGATGATGTTGAAGATGACCTTCAGTGATGCCTCTGCATGTATGTCGTTATCTAATCGTATCAAATTTTCAAGGGTCATTCACTTATCTTAGGGTAACGTACTTCAATTCATACACTGATGTATCACCTACTAGAATAATTCAGATCATAGTACAGTACTTGTTCTTATGCGAAAACATCATTTCTTGGAGTACTGTATATTATTGCTCTGCATAGAGGACATTATGTTGATACTGTATAATGACCATCAGTTGCGAAGTATCTGTGGTTAATAAAATTACTTTACTGCTACAGTATGTTATCAAATATACCATCAGTGTACAATGACTGACTTGGCACAGTACGGTGAAATTTTTTATATCGAATTAATTTATGAAACAAATTCATTTTGTGTCCCTTTTCAATGGTCATTATGTAATTCTTATTTCTTTTATGATGAAGCTTTTTCAAGGTCCTTACATGCTTTGTTATGATGAGATTGCCTTCTACTATGACCACTACAAGGTGCATCACAGGTAAGTTATGAAGACTAGTTGGACACAAATATGCAGTACATTATACAACTTAGTGAGAATATTGAGTAAAGCTAAATCACCAATGCATAAGTTTGTTCATGTGGCTCAGTACCACTTCAATTATTCAACTGACCACACCATATGAAGATCATGAATTAGTGAGAAGGCATTCAGGACAGCTTTTACAATAATGTCGTAAAATCTTCAGTATGAAGTATGTTTCATGATTCAGTCTCTTGCATTTTAATATCGTAAAATTTCGTAACATATCACATGATCCCGTTCTGGCTGATACAATCCGCTGTTGAACGCAAATTCAAAATTTCGGGTGAACACAAATAATTACTATAAAGCCTAAGTCTATTCCTTCTCGTAAAGAAAAAGAAAGTGAAATCATCTTTCCTTCTTTTACTCCCGTTTGGAGCGTGAACTGTGGCTGGTTGATTGTCTCGAATCCATGGGTTCCGATCCAGAAATCTTGGGCAACCGGCAGTTGCTTGCGTGCTGTGCAGTACCCCTATGGTCGGGTAATTTCACATCCACTCTGGTCCATCGCCCACTTTCGCCGGCAGCTTCCTGCGTCAGT